GTAGGGGTTCGGCTGCGCGGGTCGCTTCTCGGACCGAAGATCAAGTCCTCTCGGACCGAAGGTCAAGCTCTCTCGGGCCGAAGGTGGGAAGGGGAGAGTCTCGGTTCGGATTTGTCAAGGGACCGAAACAGACCGAGTGCTCGGTCCATTTCGGTTGAGAGGGTTTCGGTTCTCAGGAGGTTCGACTCTAAGAGGTTAGGCTCTTAAGAGGTTCGGCTCCTAAGAGGAGTTTCGGTTCCTAAGAGGAGTTTCGGCTCCTTAATGCTGTTTTTCGCGTAGACTTCCGTTTTCGAGCTGTTTTCGTCAAATTCGAGGGTCGGGATGCCCCGAGTGATTATAAAAAGTTGAGAGAGATTTGGGTGAGATTTGACATTCTTGGAGAGATTTCTCATACAGAGAGAGTTTTGAGAGAGATTTGACATTCTTGGAGAGATTTCTCATACAAAGAGAGTTTTGGGAGAGATTTCACATTCTTGGAGAGATTTCTCATACAGAGAGAGTTTTGGGAGAGATTTCACATTCTTGGAGAGATTTGGGAGAGATTTCACATTCTTGGAAAGATTTGGGAGAGATTTCTCATACGGAGAGATAGAGTGAAAATGATTGAGAGAGGTTTCGTTTGTGACATTTTTGGGTGTCCGGCTTCGCAACGCAAGGTCCGTAAACCCCGTTAAGCCATGTTTAAGGGTCCTACACACTCCCGATGAGTATGCAACATCGCTTTATCAGTTTGGTTCATTACTTACCACATTTTTAGGTTAAGGAAACCTAGATATACGAACTTTTCAATTGATGATTTCTCATTAGAATAGCGAGTTGTATAGTAATTACCTAACGTAAACCCTAGTATACAAGGGTTAGTTGAGTTGACCGGTTTGACTTGTTGACTTTATTTGACTTTGACTTGACCAGAATTTGACGGTTGTCACATAGTCTAGGAAACAACATAAAATGATGCAGCCAACAACCTTAATCTTACAAGTGATTCATTTAAAAACTGATTCACATAACTTTCATCTTACGTTATATGATTTTTCAATAGATTATACGCTGCAAAATCATTGTTTTTATAATTACTGATTCAAGTGATTCAAGTGTTGCAGTTTTTTTTGTGACACTTGTGTTTTTTTTAAACTGAATCTTTAAAAAAACCTAAACGAATCCATTGTTTCATCACATTTGTTTTACCGATTCCAGTACATATTCAACTAACCGAAACACAGGATACACAAATCAAATTTAATTAAAAGCTTTGTTTAGCATTTTTTATAAGTCAAGAAACAGCTTGCATCAGTTATAACATGATTGAATAACATAAGTAGCATAACAAAATGTATAAAAACATACACCATATTGAATCAACATATTCACATTACCATACAATTAAAAACTGCAGTCTTTAGATTCAAATAAAAAAAAAACTGAATTGGTAAACTTATTTAACCAAACAGGTATACTTCTAACCTTTGATGCGTCTTCTTCTCTTGGTTGTGAAACGTGAATCAGTAACCCTCTGCCTTCTGAATCTGGAAATCGGTGGATGTATATGTGAGCTTCTTCACAGAGGTTGGTTGCTCTTTATATATCATGCGTATTCGTTCCAAAAAAAGCCCAGACAAGAAAATAGAGTTAAAAAATGGAGTCTTTATATACCATTTTTACTTTGTAACTGATGGCAGTCTTTAATATCTACATTGGATACGTGACCTACTCCTATCCTTTTTAAAACCACTTACTTAAATAAATCATCGGCTCCAATATTACAATTTTTCCCTTTATGAATCATTAATTACTATTTCTTCTTACCTTCTTACCATTTTCTCATTAGTGGATCTCTCTCTCTCTCTCTATATATATATATATATATATATATATATATATATATATATATATATATATATATATATATATATTAACTATCTTATTAAAGACCCGTATGTTATACGGGTTTGATAAAACAAAAAATTAAATATAAAAGTTTAAACAAAAATTTATTTAAATTTGAAATTTTAGATTTGAAATTTAAAATTTAAAATTTGAATATAAAAAGAAACATATTAAATATTATATGAGTACTAATATTATAATTTATTGGTTATTTTAATTAATGCTGTTGTAAAATATTCTTTTATATCAGCTCAGATACCGGTTGTTGGAAATATAAAAATGTGATTACCACAACAAAAGGCTCGGTTACCAGTTACTGTGTGACAGATATATGAGTTAAAGGTATAAGATATAGATATATATAAAGAATAATAATTGCGGAATAAGTATAAATATGAAAGCTATAAATGACTGAAAGTTATAATAATATAAATGACGTAAAGCTATAAATAATATAAATGACTGTATTTAAATGACGTAAAGCTATAAATAATATAAATGACTATATTTAAATGACGTAAAGCTATAATAAAGTATATAAGTATATAAATATATATCAAGTAGGTTCGTCAATAAATTGACTGAACTGGACTGATGGAACGACTGGTCTATCAAGTAGGTTCGTCAAATAAATGACTGAACTGGCTTAGGGTTGGACTGGATCTTAATAGACTGTGTCTCTATTTGTTCATAGTTCAATCCGGTATTTCATATGTAACACAAAGTTCATTTTCATGTAAAATGGGTTGCTTACAAAACAGTGCAAAGTACACGGGTCATGTATTTGTATACGGGTATTGGGTGTTTTGAGGAGATTTGATGAGGTTGGAGTGGGTATTTGGAGGGTGGTAGGAAGTGTAATAATGTTGTAGTTTTGGTGGTGTAAGGTAGCAAAGATGGTGATGTTGAAAGAGCTTTGGGTGGTGATGAATGTAGATTTTCGGAGTAAATCTCTCTGGATAGCCAGTTCTCTCTCGCGTCTCTCTGGGGTTTCCCGTGGTCAAAATCGTCCACGAAAATTCCTAGATGTAGGTAAGGTTCTGAAGTATTGATGGTGAAAATCTCCCTAGTAGTATTTTGGCTGTGTTGTGCTCGGTTTTTTTATTTTCTAACATGAAGATTCTGAAGTCGAAAACAGAAATATCTCTGGATAGCCAATTCTCTCTCGCGTCTCTCTGGGGTTTCCCGTGGTCAAAATCGTCCACGAAAATTCCTAGATGTAGGTAAGGTTCTGAAGAATTTGTGGTGAAAATCTCCCTAGTAGAATTTTGGCTGTGTTGTGCTCGGTTTTTTATTTTCTAACATGCAAATTCTGATGTCGTAAAAAACAGCAAGGTGGTGATGGTTGTGGTGATTTGAAAGGGTTTTTGGAGGAGGTTTAAGGAGGGTATTTGAAGGGTGTTTAGAGAGTATTTTGAGGTTGTTTGGAGGTTAGAATAAGGTTGATATAAGGTTGATATATGGTTGATATAAGGTGGTGATGGTGGTGAAAGTTTATGAAGATGATGATGAATAGTGACAGGTTTTGTATGAGTTTTTAAAGCAGGAGGTTTTTGGGTGGTTTTATGGTTGTGTTTTAGTGGGTTGATGTAGTAGAGGTTGTTTGGTGGTGAATGGTTGGTGTATGATGATGATGAACGAAGGTGGTGAAGGTTTATGAAGATGATGATGAATAGTGACGAGTTTTGTTTTTGATCTTGATGTTCTTCATTTCATTGTTGTTTGATCTTGGTGTTCTTCACTTGCTTGTTGTTTGATCTTGGTGTTCTTGGTTGGGAGAGATGTAAGATGTATGGAGATGTAGCTGGAGGTTTTACAATGGAAAAAATGAACACTCACCCTCTCATATTACATACACACGTACATATATGTACAAGAGAAATTAACAAATATCTAATGCACTTGAGTGATGAAAGCTTTTGAGTAAAGGATTTGTTTACTTTGTGTCGAGTAGTAGATATTTGTTTGAGAAGCTAGATAGGCACGTTGCTTTGCTTCTTCATTTGACAGAGAGCGTGAGAGTATCTCATAAATTCATTTAAGATTATTGAATTTTCATAATAGCCCCTTGAGGTTTTGATGTCTTCACAATTTTTATCTCTTGATGTGTTTTGTCTTCAAACGACCAAATATGCGGCTATTTTTCCGTCTTTGTGTATTCCGTCTTTCGTGTATTTTTGTATTTCACATTTAAGCACGAATCCACGCAACCTGAAATAACTGATAATATTTGTCAGAAAAAATAAAAACAGTTCGTCTTATTTCAGTGATGATCACATACAAAAATAATTTTCAACAAATGCAATTATTAATTGAGGTGTAAATATGATATGTTAATTAAGAAAAAATATAAAAATGAGAAAATGACAAATGAAAAAACATTTAATCAAAGATACCAAAAAGTGACAAGTGTCCAAGTTAATGAGATAGTGACATATGGTAAAATTATTTTCATTTATTAGGAAGAAGGATTACATATTTCTTGAAATTTAAGAGTTACAATACCTACTAACCCGCAGTATTATCCAATACATCTACATGAATCGTTTATGGAATTAATTTGGGAATCAAACAATATTTTTTATTCCTGCTCACAATTCTGAAACTCTAAATCAGTCATATTCATTGAGAAACCCTAAGCCGTCCGTTACGCGGCTTCTCCTTCTTCCCGAACTACCATCCTACCTGCAACATCTCTTTTATCTCTATCTTACTCATCTTCCGTATCCGGTATCCCTATGTTACCATAACCCTTCGTTACACACCATTCACTGGAAACCCTAACCTTAAGTTACCTCCACCATCGCCCACTCTCTCTTGCCCCTCTTCTACCTTCTGTTACGACGACAAGCCCTAACAGTCTCCACAACCCTAACCGTCACCACCAGCGAATAGGTGATAAAAGAAGGTATTACGAAGAATGGAGTTGGTCTTTGATGTAAACGACGATGAAATCCCTCACCTTTCTTCCTGAACCCCAATTCTTCACTTCAAGCCTCCGTATATGTGTTTGATAAATGATAATCATTAACACCGCCATCATCTTCAACTGCTCCCGATTTTGAATTGAAAATCATAACCAATCGCAGGGGACCATTTGGAGTTGGAAATCCATGTCAGGTGGTGATGGTGAAATTGGCTTCCTTGAATTCACGTTTGTTTCCTTGAATTCACGTTTGTTTCATAGGTGTTGGAGCAGATACTTGGTGTGCTTATTAAGCTTGTGAAAGATTTGAAGTTACAACATCAACATAAATACGTGAGGAACCACTTTCATGTTTTTTTAACAAGACATGATTTTTTTTTATTCTTAATTTCTAATTTAGGCTAATTGCATAATAAACAAAATCTATATGAAAATTCTGTAGGATTAACGATGAACTGAAAAAGACTTGGTTGTGCAAAAGGTGTGAAACCATGAGCCCCAAATTGAGGTTCGTGTCTTTTTATTCTCTTTACCTATCACTTTGCTCAAAAGACATAAATGCCTTCCTCATGTCGTTTCTTTCAGAGTTTTGTAGCATATTCTCCTGCTTGAGACTTATACACAGGAATCAGCCCAACACTGCATAAGATAAGGTAAGATTGTGTTTTCTTAAAAAAAAAAATTCTCTTTGTGATTTTAAAAGGGTATTTTTGTAATTTTACAGGAAATATCTTGTGGAAGCCACAGAAGAAGCTTCACTTGCATACAGCAAGGCTGTACGTTGTTTTTTTCCATCATTTTCATATGATCACTAGTGGGACAAACAGTGACTCATTCTTGAACTCTTGTATGTGCAAAAGACGATAATGCCCTCATGAATTGACACAATTATACGGATTTGTAGGTGACACGACTTCAAGAATATCAAGGTGTTGACCCCCATTTTGACTAGGGCCGACAATTCTCGACACAACACGCGACACGACACGAAATAAATGAGTTTGGGTTGAATTTTTCAACCCGCCAACCTGTTTATTAAACGGGTCATATATGGGTTTCTCAAAAAATAAACAGGTTGACCCGCCAAACCGCTTATATTCTTAATAAAAAATTATTTAATTTTTAAATGTATTTATGTATCAAGTATTAATATTTAACAAGTATTATATAATATGTACCATTGATTCATAGACCATTTGACTGTTTTGACATTTTGACTCGTGGTGGATGGTCTAAGGTCGTAAGTAGTAACCTATAATGCTAAGTCCGTAACATATTTTTATGAATGTTTTTAATTTTCATTTGGATGTTTAAGACTTAAATGTCTAAAAATTCGGACCCATGAACCCAAATCTGACCCACGAACTCGCCAACCTGTGAACCTGTATAAATAAATGGGTTGACGGGTCATATATGGATTTATGTTCCAAACCCGCCAAACCATGACCCGCCAACCCGTGACCTGCCAACCCGCGACACGTCAATCCGAACACGACACGATTGTCAGGCCTAATTTTGACACAATCGCAAGGCATATCAAGAAATAGTGAAGGTAAATTAACAATTTATTAATGAGAGTAAGACACGTCAATTTAATTAATAAAATGTTAAATTTGAGTTAAAACCTGTAATTTTTCAGAAGCTAAAGAATATGCAATGGATAATTCACCAAGTGGACATGGATCTCAACCGATTACCCTTGAAATAAATTGGGTGATTTGCTCAACCTCATCTTTTAGCTTCTTACTATTTTACAGAATTCTTCATAGTTGATTTTGCCATCCTGTCAGGGTCATAATAGCATCTCATACAACACTTTATTCAAACAGTATGATTCATTTATAATAACTTGCATAGTATAACTTACAACATTCACATGAATTTCTGATATTATATCTTCAATGGTGGCCTCATCGCCCATTTTATATTCTTCCAACATTTATTTTAGATCATCTTTTGAAATACATCTGCCATAAATCCTCATCATGATCCAAAAGGACCAAAACTTACAAACGATAAATGTTTCCAATAAAAAATGTGGTTGTGATTAGGCACCAGGTGTCCTTAGGCTCGGTCCATTAAATATTACACCCTTCATTGTTTTTTGGTGTGTGTGTTTGTTGTGTGTATATGTGTGTTGTGTTTGAAAGGTCTCACTTGACTAAACATAACCACTTTCAGTCAACTTCACAAGCGCCAATCTTTAGAGTTGATTGGACATGATTTAGAGTTGATTGGACATGATTACAGACATGATTACTTAAGAAAAGTGTACAACACAAATGAATAAAACCATAAATAGCAATGCACTTTGGGTTTTTCTTAAAAAGTAAGAACAAATGAATCAAACATATAAACAAATTAGGTAAATTACAAAATTGATTACGTTTAATTTGTTAAATTGTTGAAAATTAGTGATTTTGTTTGTATACATTTAAAAAAACCGAATTTACTGGAAAAATCGTACTTAAAATATTTCGGTAGGAAAATTAGGTTGGGGGGACTTATTTTTGTGTTATATAGGTCATAAAAGCTCCAATCAACCACTAAAAGAATTTTTGTGGAAAGAAATATGGCCTCTATATATAGAGGCCACTATTCATAACACCAAACACCTTTTAAATAGCATTATTTTAACTGTTTTTAGTTTTTTATTACTATTATTCTTTATAATTTATAATATTAAAATATGTTTTAGTGTAATTTTTTAGTGTGGTTGGAGTTGAAAAGAGTTTTTGTGTTAGTTTTACACAAAAATAGTGTAAATGCTGGAAACCATGAGAGGTATGTACTACGACGTCGTCAAGTATGTACTACGACGTCGTCCTCAAGCCCTAAAAATAAAATCAATTATTTTGAATCCCCTCCTCCATCTTTCGATTGACAATATTCTCCTCCTATCAAAAACCCTAATTTTTCAACCGTCATTGCCACAGCTACACTAGGATTGCTATACCACCGCCCTCTTGTCCCATTAGTGAACCACCGCCAGCCTCCGTACACACGCCACAACCGGCGACGTCACCACAGTACGGAACCGCAACACTCACGCAGATCTACAACTTGATTATTGTAAGAACAGCTCTGTAATCTCTATGCTAGTTGTTGAGATTTTTTCATCTATCTGTCGTTGACATTCAATCAATGTACATCTTTGGTTCATCACTTGTGAATTAGGTGGGTCATCTCGAAACCCCTCACGTGATACCACATTGGAGCATTCACGTGGTACCACACTTGAAGTATTCACTATCCTAGGTGAGTTTTACTTTTTTTTTCGAAAAAACCCTAGTTCTCAAGTTATTTTTATTGAATTTTGATCCATATGCATGCTTAAATGATTAGTTTTTCTTTTCTTGGATATCACTTGTACCCAGGAGCACCATTCACACACATAGATACACTAAGTGTGCCATTTGGTCATCAAGTGTAAACTTTACTTCTAGGTAAGCTTGATTGTTCCTTATCTAACCCTAATTAGTTGATGTTTTCATTGGTCTTTACATACGTGATCATTCTTATGTGGTTCTCTCTACATTGGATAGTTGTTGGGATTATCTCTCTACAACGGCTCTTAATGCCATAAGATATTGGGTGGATTTAAAAAATGCTTTAAAGTCCTCTGGAAAACTACATGGAGATGTAGATCCGTCAAGTAAGGGGTTCAAGGCTCTTCAAGTCATACTTTGAAGGGGAGGTTTTAGAAAACCTAAAAGTATTTTTGTATTTTGATCTTGTAGGTGTTAAAGAAGATGACATGTATGACCATATCACGGAAGAATCAGCGAGTATCCGGCTACGTCTCGCCTACCTTTCAGCTGAGGTAAACTGTTCTTCAATAACTATAACTAGTGTCATACCCGTCTCGTGGACAGGTTGACAAAATAATAAACAATAATATTGGTTTATCTTATTTTTATAGCATATTACTTTCATTACTTTCTATATTAGTTGGTACATGACAAATCTATCCAATTATCTTTCTATCTTTTGAAAGTAAATAGCAATGTACTTTTGCATAAACAAAATCACATTTGGCACACATTACTACAAGCTTAAAAAAGGTTAGAATGCTATTCAAACACATGACATGAATGAAGAGTTAACCCTTAGTTACCATCTTCCATTTTTTGTCAAGTATTTCTAATTTTATAAATGTGTTATAAGAAAGTTTTAAATTATTTTCATGTTAATTGATTGTTTACAAGAAAAAAATTATCACTATTTTAACTGATGGTAACACAGAACCAATAACAGCTTTAACATGAATTATGTAATCTTTTTTCTGCCATAAGGACAAATTACCTAATGTTTTTCTTTATAGGAAGCAACTTTTTAAATATCTTTTTTTTTGCCTATATCGAAGCATTTATCCAAGGTAAAAAACTAAATAAGTAAGGTATGGTATAAAAAAAAGAACATTGCTAAGGTTCATTTTTTTATCAACAAACTTAAAAGCAAGTTGACATCCAAATATTCCCACCAAAGTATACAATTTGATAATACTTTTTTCTTATTAAACCAATGTACTTTCAATTTACAATAGTTAAAGACAATAAGAAAAAGAAAAAATAAAATAAACAAAAAAATAGATAAAAAAAAATGAAAGTGATACGGTATGGTACATGTAGACAAACAAATGCTAATACATTGTTATTTCTTGCATTTAGCCTAATAGAGGACATATGCAAGACATAGCAACGTACTTCCAGTTCTTCTTGAGAGTAATGGGTAGGGAAAATTCAAGTAACTCCTCTAGAACTCGATCCCATCATTGAAGAGATGCCATTAATATTGTGTCCAAGTAGTTCTTGAAACCCCAAATAACCTTTGACTTTTCCATATATGCTCCTTACTCAAAACGTCTTAATTCTTGAACCATCTTCAACTTTCCGATCATGCTCTTGTCCCTAACTTAACCTTTGACATTTCTATCAAAATTTCCATTTTGGAAACATTTTTTTATATATAAAAAAACTTGATAAACTTAGACCTAACCTGGAAATGATACACAATCAAAAATAAGATCTAAAAGCTTTTTTTTATTTATTTTTATTTTTTATTCAAGTACATTCCTATTAAAAAACCAATTCAGAAACATTTTTTTAAACTACAAACTCAGGCCTGGCCTAGATATGATAGACCTCAAAACATAAAGTACATTGCTATTTTTTGCAATGCATTTTCTATTTTTGCAATTAACCAAAGATATCAATGCAAGTATGTAAGTATGTAGATTTTTTAACCATACAAATAACCGAAATAAAAAAAGTACCAACTCTAAAATTGATTGCACGATTCTTTTTTCTTAAGAGGAAAGAAGTAATCTCATTTACGGGGTTGTTGTGTTGATGATTTGGAGAAATTGATACATTTTCATAGTCTAACAACAAAAGATGAAGCCAATCTAAAATCGACTTTTATCATGGGAGGATGACCAAAGATTTAGATTCGCCTGTGACATTCTCTATGGAAAGATAAAAAAAATTCAAAAATAACTTGGTTACTATTACAATGCATTAAAAATAAAGAAAAAACGAGCCGCTAATCATCCATCACATTAAATATAAATAGAAAATGAGACTATATAAAACATACATGTGAAGAGGGGTCTCCGATTAAGGGCCAGTATAGCATAAATTCTACAGCCAAGCTGCTTTCTCAGCCAAACAGCTTCGGCAACGAATCTAATATCTCAGCGAAGGTGCCAGCTTCATCTTCATGTTACTACATATATTGTGCTGAATCATACTAAAAAGAGTAATAAAATGGAAAGGTAAATAACAATTTACTAAAAAAGACTAATAAACTTGTAATATAGGATTATTAATGTAAAAGGAAAACCAACACACTAAGCATTCATTGTCCTCGATGAGAGCTCATTTAAAAGGAAAACCAACCATACTCATCACTCATATCAAACAAAGAATTAGGAAATGTTTTAAGTTATGTACAATGGTTGAATCTCGTCCGATTATAATAAGTTAAGTTATAAAGTTAAAAGGATTCAAAAACAGTTAGTGTCAATTCCTTCAAAACTTGCAATATAAAATCAATCAAGTTAGGTAATACTGCCTCAGACCTTCTACTGGATTAATTGCTTGAATCAACAGGATTCATTTAGGATTAATTGCAAAAACAGAAAGTACATTGCTATTTCATGTAATCAAGTTTACTTTTTTGCAATTAACCCAAAAACATCAAAGAAAGTACGTTGCCCTCTGTTTATGTTTTTCCAATCTTGATCATTTTAAAATATTTAACAATAATTAAATTTTGTAAAATTGACAACACATGACCACATGGTTCAATAATAGATAGTACCACAAGGACCAAAAGTGCAAATAATTTTCTTTTTACACCAAAAGAAAATGGTACTATTCTTTTCACAAATTTAAAGACTGGTATGTTGACTTTTGATGACCCAGGGAGCAAAAAAACTTTAAAATAGTATTATATAGAAGAAAAAAAGAAAAAAAAAAGACCAAACCGAGAGAGCTCTCTATAGCTTAGGGACTAAAAATGAAATTTACTGAAAATTAAAAAACGAATGTGTTTGAACTTAAACCTGCACAATGTGATGATCAATCCTTTTCAAGTGATATGTATTTTCTTGGTTGGAGTTAATTCACATGTACTCGCCTTGATTTGGTTAACTCAACTGGTTTGTTGTGATCAGGTTCTAACTCACTTGGTTTGAAACCATACTCGTCCATTGTACTCGCATAGTCAAGTAACATATGAATCAAAAAAATAGTGGAAAAGATATATATATATATATATATATATATATATATATATATATATATTATATATATAGGGGACGGTTCACTTGAGATTAAAAAAAAGTAGAGATATTGAGATTAAACCTCAGCCACATATTTCGCATTTGCCGCTCTAATGCTCCAGCGTACCAGCAGCAACGAGGTATGCCTAATCATAAATGATTATATGGCAGAGAGGTATAATCATACATGATTATACATGTTTATACGTATATGCATAATCATAAATGATTATACATATATGTCTGTTTACAGATTGAGTAATCATAAATGATTATTACAGTTTGTCGCAGAAGAGGTGGTAGTGACAGAGGTGGCGGTGGTATAAGTAATGGAGGTGACAATGGTGGGGTCGACTGGTGTCAGAGGTGGTGGTAGTGGTGGTGGCGGTGGCAATTACGGTGGTGGGGATGGTGGCGGAGGAGAAAGGAACGGGTGGCATTGTATAATCATTTATGATTACATCAGACCTGCCGCGCCGGTACGCCGAAGGGTTAGAGCGGCAAATGTGAAATACGTGGCTGAGGTTCAATCCCATGTGCATAAAGGGACAAACTTATACTATGATCATAGAACAAATAAACATAGCTCACTAAAAAGGGAATCAAACAAAAAGGTATATTTCATCAACAAAAGTGGCTATCTACACAATTCTGGAATATGATTAATTGCCAATATTAACTTTAATAATAGATAAAGGAAATTTATTTATATATGCATTTTATATTTTGAGTGTAAATAATAAAGTAAATGCTAAAAGTGGGTAGAACTCAGAACTAAAAGAAGTGCAATCTTGTTGCTTCTGTTTTTTGCCTTAAAGATGAGTTTATGTTTTAAAAAAAATTTACTTCTTTACCGTACAATAAGTTCCTATTACACTTACACAAATATTAACAAAATCACACAATTATGATAGTCAAATAAGAATTCTAAAGCAAAAAAATTGTGTATACATACACTCCATCCTTTGTTTTTCTCCTACACTCCTTGGAAATGTATATGATTGTGTCAGATTATCATTAGTACTTATTAAGTGCCAATTTAATGTTCCATTCTCTCCACCCTTGAAAATATATGGTTGTTCACAAAACAATAAATATCAATATTTTAACTTCATAAAATAATTAAATGATGCAGATATGGGCACTACTTGTTCATGTCCTAAAATTGTAAAAGGCCAAGAAGTGCAATAATTTTGTTAAGTGCAAGTAGTTCGCTAAAGGAACTTGATCACTCCCTATGCCTCTGTCCCTTTACATCCCACCACCAATGAAGGTTGATTCTTTCAAACCAAATTCCTTGACTTTTTACAATAAACTTTCCTCAATTATTTTTCCTTCTTTTTCCCTAATCGTGTTCTCATTTTCTTAAATATAAGCCCTGACTTGACTTAACAGAGAGATTTACCTGTTTATCCGGTGTCACAAAGATAATTCCATTTTTGAGGTGTATAGGAATGGATCAATGGAATCATCATTAACATTGAAAACACAATAATTGATAAATCAGATTCTAAGATCTAATTTCCATATTATTTAATATCAATTTGAAGAGGAATTTTATATAATAAAAAGATAGAGTAAAAGTTCACCTTTATCTAAAGGCTTCATCTAGAGCAAAATAAAATAATAGCTAAATAATTGTTAGTTTTCAATTTCCATCTATTAACATAAGAAATAAAATATCATAATGAACAAATAATATCTGCTTCCCATGGAAGTTGACGGATTTTCCATTTTTATGTGGCTCATTTCTCTCATTTCCATTAATACAATCATTAGTTATCATACGGGATCCATCAATTTGGTTTATAGAGGTATTTTCTGTCATGAATAAATGCTAATATGAATTTCTTTTTAGTGTCTAGGACCTCCACTACCTGATCAATGTCCATAAATCCCTAACCTGCCTAAGAAGAATATGCAAGACAATCTAAAGAGCCATAAATTGAAAAGATTTACCTCATTGTATGGTGAACATAATCACCATTATAGAAAATAGCTCAAAACCCACTCTAACACCAAAAGTAAAAGATGTAAGCATTATTGTTGACTCTAAAGTACAGGGAATGCAATAACATTAACGTTATAGCAGACCTTTTGCAAAATGAGCAATTCGATTCCAATCAATCAAGAGAACCATTTAAATTTCCTAATCGAAACATAATATGGCTGAACTGAAGAAACGAAATTCGTAAAATCAAAATTGATAGCAAAGGGGAATGTATGTAGTTCGAAAGTTGGATATTCATACCGTATGAAGAATTCCAAATTTAATAGTCATTTTCAACTTCCTCAACCATTGACACTTCGATTAAGAACCTCTATAATTGTTTTCTTTCCACATCCCTGCAAAAAATAAGATAAAACCCCCCTAATTAGATTCAATGCACGAAACAGTTCATACATTCTTCAACTCTCTACAAAGATTCAAGACATCAGTAAACTTAAGAGCATGAATGAAGATTCATCAGATACCCACCTCTATAAACACTTTTATCAACCTAAAATTCCTTACATTTTCTCTTGATATTGAACCTCTTTCTAACCAATTGACCAAGAGAAATATCCCAACAGAGCGTCATTAAGCAAAATCATCAATGAAACGAAGTAAAGGTCTGAGAAAATGCGAAAATACATTAGGGAAACAAAATAAAACCTTATTCTTTTTGGATTTTTCATCTCTCATTCTTCCTTCTGGTCCTAGGGTTTGCTCTTGCCGGAAAAAGCTTCAATCACATCTCAAAGAGGTGTGTGTGCATAGAGAAAAGGAGTGGCAGTTGTGGAGGTGAGGGAAGGGAAGTGGAATTTGCCTCTTCTTCTTATTTATACTTCCAAACGCCTCCAATTAAAACTCAAACTGAAAATCAAATGAATCCATGTTTTTCCACATCAAGTAGCCATGGATTATTCAATGACAAACGATTCGGTTCGAGATTAAATAAGGGGGAAAAATTAACACAATCACAGTGTGGAGCTAGTAGGAGAAACGTACCTGAGTGGTTGTGCGAGATGAAAAACTTAGGCTAAGGTTCATGAATTGGGGATGATGGGTTGTACATGAAGATCTGAAGCGAGAGAAGGAGATGAAATAGAGGAGCATCAGGAACATTGGAGATGAAGTGGAGTCTTTCTTAGACTTCAATCAAAGAAACCTCCATACGTAATCGTGAAGCCAAGAGAGAAATAAGGGGAGATCGTGGGAAGAATTACAGAGCACCGGAACGTGGGAGGTGGGGAGAAGGAGGAGGGTCGTCAAAACCGATTGCTGGAACCGTAAACAACCGTCAAAATCGAGTTTATGCGGCCGAGATCGAAAGAACGTGGGAGTTTAGACGGCTTAGATTTTGAGGACGGCGGTTAGACTCACCGTCGTCAATAGTATTAATAAATTGGGTTGATTTACTAGTTAGTAGCCAGGGGCATAGTTGTCAAACGAGTCGAGTCATTTTTTTTTTTTTTGTTTTTGTTTATCATCTCAAACCAATTTCCCGGTTTTTGTTTTTGCCTTTAAAGAATATTGAAGTCCCTGAATCATCTCAAACCAATTTCCCGGTTTTTGTTTGAAATTCACATTGCCTTTTATCATCTTCCAAACTTCCATTGGGAAATTACATTCAAAAAACAAATGAGTATGAGAATCCACTTGATTGTTACAAAAAGCACAAGAGAAGTCATCAGAAACTTTCCATTTTTTCATTCTATCTTGTGTTCTAAGTCTTCCAAGAATAGCTAGCCAAAGAATGAAACAAAGAATAGCTAGCCAAAGAATGAAACAGTGACCGAGAATTTTGTTTTGAAACCAAACCAAGTCATACCAATCAACTTTGGGCTCTAGACTAATTAGAGAAGAAAAGACATGACTAACAGTAAAAGGAACAATATCTCGCTTCCAGTTCATCCACAACACAACATCCTTTTTCTTTCTAATGAGCCTAGGAACAAGGTACTCTCCAAGCTGTGAAATCATTCTCAATCAATCAAATGGCCAACTCCAATCTTCATTAACTATATCTTCATTAACAAATGAGTATGAGAATCCACTTGATTGTTACAAAAAGCACAAGAGAAGTCATTAGAAACTCTCCATTTTTTCATTCTATCTTGTTTTCTGAGTCTTCCAAGAATAAATAGCTAGCCAAAGAATGAAATAGTGATTGGGAATTCTGTTTTGAAACCAAACCAAGTCATACCAATCAACTTTGGGCTCTTGACTAATTAGAGAAGAAAAGACATGACTAATAGTAAAAGGAACAATATCTCGCTTCCAGTTCATCCACAACACAACATCCTTTTTCTCTCTAATGAGCCTAGGAACAGGGTAATCTCCAAGCTGTAGAATCATTCTCAATCAATCAAATGGCCAACTCTAATCTTCATTAACTATCACATCACTGACTTTATCCCGTATATTAAACCCAGCATTAGCTATTTCTCTATGAGATAGGAAATAACTCAAAGGACCTAGTTGATGCCAATTATCAAACCACATGGAAGTACCTTCACCATTTCCAATATGAGAATAAAAAGAGTCCCGAAGGTAAGGTCTAATCTTCAACAGGTTTCTCCAACTCCAACTCATTTTATCTTTAGGCCCCACATCCCATAAACTTCTTCCTTTAAGAAGGTAAGAATTAAACCATTTGACCCATAAGGAATTATGACGAGTCAAGTCATTTTGAATTATTACAAGATGTGTTTTTTATAAATGGTGCTGTTTTGTTGTTTTTTTACAAATAAAAGCTATTAAAATGCAGTTTTTTATTAATATTGTTATTTTTATTTAAACATGTAGTTTTTTTTTTTTTTTTTATAAAGAGTAAAGTTCTTTTGTTAAAAATTGCATTTTTTTAACAAAAAGTGGATAGTTTTAACTTTTAAATGACTTTTGTTTGTAGGAAGAGATATTGAGACCGGCTCTAGAAAGGGATCTAGCAAGGAACAAAAAACTGGAGAGTTTTAAATTGATTGAATTAAGGTTAGCTTTAAGTTTATTTTTAATCTACTCTAAAAAAAGAAGTGTTTTTTTTTTGTCACATGTCACATTCTTATTCAATTTGCCAAATGTCATTTTGTGGTTATTTTAAATTAAATTTTTTTTTCCACATGTCATTTTATGAGCTTTTCTATTTTATTAAATTTCACATAATATTTTAATATAATAATTGCAATAATTATAGTAATAAATTGATATCAATTTTATTAATAAACTTACCTTTAAATTTTAAAATTCTCAAATTAAAGCTCTGTAGTTTTTTATGTTTATTTATTTAAATTATTTGTTTAAATTTAAAAGATAAAAAACATTTCAGTTATAATAATTCATTATTTTTCTTACTTTCTTATAAATTCAAAGTTCTCAAATATTGACTTTTTATATTTAATTTTTTTTCTTTTAAATTAACCCATGTAATGCATGGGTCTCCCAATTAGTTATATAAAAAAAATAAAGTTATTAACAACTATGATGTTTATATTTCAGGAATAGAGATCGTCATAACACAATCAAAATCAATTTGAGAGACCAATCAGAAGAGAATGCAATTTGTCTTATAGATATTCATCTATGGATTGCATTTAACCTGAGAAGTTATAACATTAGTTTATTATTAGATACCTTCTCATATCTTTACTAATATGTAAGTTTTTATTTTTCTAAACAGCCTTGCATAAAATAACTATAATTTCGGGGAATACAAATCATCAAGCGGTACAAATTTGTTTATTTTACATTATGATTATATATTTTTTATAATTAACTATCTATGTTTTTTTGCAGATCGGTCGTTACTTACTTAGAAAATATGTCAGACTCAAAGAAAACCCGGGCGTTTTTGAAATCACATTTTTCTTGAATAAAAAAGACTACAACTTTGACAATGAGATGGACTGGGTTGGTGATCAAACAAATAGTTGGCGATCGGTTTTAGAGGCATTACTGCGATGTGGCCAACTTTACGTGGGTGTCAACCAACAAGGTTAGTATCCTTGACATTATTTTTGTTGTTTATTGTAACATAGAAAGTAGGGATGTTATTCGGACTGGAACCGGACCGAACCGACCTGAACAACCCGAAAACCAAATAAGGGTAATTGCATGGACCGAGAACCGAACCAATTAACCAATACGGGTTCGGTTTGGTTTGGGTATTAATCGATTCGGTTCAGTTATTACCCGAATAACATGTACAAGATGATTAAGCACCTAATATAACCGAAAAAAACCTGAATAAACCGTATTAGGATTCTATAACCCAAACAACATTTACAATGTGATTATAAACATTGTATTTTTTATGACTTTTGTAGCTTATGATTTCTTAACAAATCCTTTAAATAAATAAATTTGTTAATTAAAAATAATGCACAAAGTATACATAATTGCTTCGAAGGTGTAAAAAAAGGTTAGAATTTGTGTAGTAAAAATGTAAACGACGAATTAACTATTCTTTGAGATATAAGAATGTAAAATCCAATACGCTCTTATTTGGGTCGGGTATTTAGAACCGAATAAGGTCTTATTTGGATAACGCGGACCGAATAAGCATAATATAGATACCCAAAAACCAAATCGAATTGCTTTTTCGGGCCTAATTTGGTTCGGTTCAGGTTTTCGGGTCAAATTCTCATCCCTAATAGAAAGAATCAATAAAACTATTATTTTTATTGTAGATATCAGAAGAAATTTAGAAATTAGAGATCTTATTCAAGATGCAAAACAAAGTGAACGTCGTGCCAATTTATTGGACCAAACAAGTAATAATTTTATTCTTAAAGATATTCAGTTTTTTCTGTCTCGTTTTTATGTACACCTTTTTTCTATCTTCTCTTAATGCAGGCCTCTAAATTTTACAAGGAAGGAAGTATAATTCTTGGAAATCAAAAGATGGATGAAGCAGAGAACTTAAGAAAGGAGATCAAGGTCGAAGATAAGAAAAATTAGTTCAAGCTAGTAGTATCCAGGTTTTTATAAATTAAGTTTCTTGTTTTTTTATTTTATTTATTTATTTATTTTTTTAAATCTATGTTTCTAATTTAATGACCTCTTTAATGAATCCTTCAATTCAGGAATAAAGAAATTACCAACAAAATCACTATTGATCTTCATGGACAATATAGACATGAGGCAATGTGGTTTTTGAAGCTTCACTTGTGGCTGTTTAACAATTTGCGTAGTATGATCATTAACATTAGTTTATTTAATATATTTTCACGTCTTTTTCTTTAATTTTTTATTCTTTACAACAATTGTAAAGGAAATTGTTGTGATAACGGGACATGCTGATGATCGAGAAACGGAATCGGTTTTGAAGCCAATGGTACAAGTATTTTTTATTCAATTTTAATTTTCAATACTTAAAGAATAAAAGATTTGCTTTTGTTTTGTAGGTCATTGGTTTATTAAAAAGATATGGAATGGAGCCTAAAGAATTAGACATTTCCGACTGTAGAGATGTCTAAACTAGAGGAAGCCTGCCAGGGTTGATGACAATATCATCTGCATTACTGTTGATAGATGCATTGTATGGAAATTCTATCTCATTGGACCTGGAATGGTCAACAAAAAAATTCGACTGTCTTTAGTTTCTTCACTTGTTTTCTTTCGCACCTGATGATGTGGACAAAAATTAAAAAAATCACATACGATGATAATGATCCAACATATATTTGGTCAAATATATGTTGGATCATTATCATCGTATTTGATTTTTTTAATTTCTGTCCACATCATCAGGTACTAAAGAAAACAAGTGAAGAAACTAAAGACAGTCGAATTTTTTTGTTGACCATTCCAGGTCCAATGAGATGGAATTTCCATACAATGCATTTATCAACAGTAATGCAGATGACATTGTCATCAACCCTGGCAGGCTTCCTCTAGTTTAGACATCTCTACAGTCGGAAATGTCTAATTCTTTAGGCTCCATTCCATATCTTTTTAATAAACCAATGACCTACAAAACAAAAGCAAATCTTTTATTCTTTAAGTATTGAAAATTAAAATTGAATAAAAATACTTGTACCATTGGCTTCAAAACCGGTTTCGTTTCTCGATCATAGCATGTCCTGTTATCACAACAATTTCCTTTACAGCTGTTGTAAAGAATAAAAAATTAAAGAAAAAGACATGAAAATATATTAAATAAACTAATGTTAATGATCATACTACGCAAATTGTTAAACAACCACAAGTGAAGCTTCAAAAACCACATTGCCTCATGTCTATATTGTCCATGAAGATCAATAGTGATTTTGTTGGTACTTTCTTTATTCCTGAATTGAAGGATTCATTAAAGAGGTCATTAAATTAGAAACATAGATTTAAAAAAATAAATAAATAAATAAAATAAAAAAACAAGAAACATAATTTATAAAAACCTGGATACTAGTAGCTTGAAGTAATTTTTCTTATCCACCATCACCACCCACTCCAACCGATACCAACTCCGGCTGACTTTTCCGGCCATTGCATCCTTAACATTCTTTCCCTCTCTCACGTAGAAGAGCACCACTTCAGATCTAAGGTTTCGTATAGAGGAGATCGACCCTAGGCAGCACACCACCCACCAGATCTGTCGAGGTATAGAGAAACCAAACATCTACACACGTAGATCTGGAACCCGCTTTCAGATCTAAATGACTACCGGTGATGACGATGTTTGTTTTTCCCATCATATCAGATCCAATGAACGGAAGTAACAGATACTGAAACCCTAGGCAGCGGTGGCGGCGAGATTTGAGACGATGAAGGTGAAGGTTTGAAACCAAATAATACGATGGTGATTTTCCGAGCTGGCGACAACATTAATGAGAGTTGGGTCGGTACCAGATCTTGCAGATACCGAATAATTACGTGGATTGATACAATGTTGAGAATCGACCAGAGAAATATGGAGATACCGAATCTTGATAAACAACGACCATAGACTACCGAAGACCACCTTTTCCGACAAGGGGTTTGTCATCGGTGGTAGAGGGTGGATCAAGAATGAAAGAGGTGGAAGAGATGTTATTTGATGGGATTATTGTTATGGTACTCTTGCAGCTACTAGTTATGGGTAGAAGAAGACGACCTGATTCATCATCGGAGTCGGTGAATTTAAAGGGGGAAGAGTAGGTCATGCCTGAGTGCTCAGTCTATTTATGATTTCCATTTGTGTGTTTTGTGTTACATTTATGGACGGTATTTTCACCTTTTAATCATAAAATACCCCTTCTCAGGATCTTAATGAAGTGGCAGCACTAAAGGACAATTTTTAGGGTGTTTTTGGGTTGGCTCTTATGAGGATCTGTTCTTGAGCAAAACATAGTGCCAAAATCAACAAGTCTATTTTTTTAATAATTTTTGTTACTTAATAATCATTTTCGCATATAAAATCAAAATAATAAATAATAAATAAATAAAAAATTAATAATTTCGCAGAGACGAACATCGATCCTTAGAGGGGAGGGGGCTCTGTGGATATGTTCTTGAGCAAAACACCTCTGCGGATCTGTTCTTTGTAGAAACGATATTTCCATGGCAAAAATCGGATAAAAATTTGGGATTTACTAATTACTAAACTATCATACATTCATACAAACTATCATACACCCTAACAATATATAATTAACTCAAAAAACGGGCAATTACTTTTTCATACCTAAAAAATTGACACTATGTTTTGCTCAAGAACAGATCATCAGAGCCATTAACCGATCCTTAGAGCCATTAAACGATTACGGATCTGATGGTCATTTTACAAATTTCGAAATTTTATGGTAAAAAGGTGAAAACACCCCCTTAAGATATGGTTATTTTATGAAATTTCTCATAAGTTAATCGGCTAAGCCAAAAAATTGATGGATATTGTTAAAAGTTGTTTGTCTGAATGGAAAGGGAAAAGTGTGGATCCTGATCCTCCATCCACCTTCAAATAACCATGATGGACATTGTTATATATTAAGAGCAAACTCATAATTAAAAAAAGAAGAAAAAGGAAAAACAGTTTCAAGCATCGTATCATAGATACCTTCTTGTGTGAACAAACATCTATTATTGCTTGCATTCTTCAAGGAAATAGGCATATGTCTTCTTCAACTTTTCTATCAGTTCTGCATTCCTATAACAAAACTTAACTCTATACCCATTAGCAACGAAAACCATTAAGAGAAAATAACAATTTAACTTTAAATTATAAAAAAAAAAATGATAATCCCTTGGTCATATGTTTAGAGATAGATAGATATAAAGAGGAGAGAATTTACCGGTCAACGGTCAATCAATGGGCAGATGAATTGGCAGTAAACCATGAAGAAGAAAATTGAAATAGAAAAATGGAACTATATGAACGAATAGCATGTGTATTACTGTTGTTCAATGGATATCATAGTCATGTACACTATGGTCACCTCTAAAACATAATTAAAGATGAATATGTCGATTTACATTTGCAATATGAGTCCCTCCTTCAAACCAAGCGGGCGAGAAAATCAAACAGAGCCGTTTACTGGGGGTCAAGAGTTCTTAAACAGAGGATTCACTTCAAATTTTCAAGAGATTAGTTCAATAAACTGTTTCACCTTCGCTTACGCAATATTTTATTTATATTATGGTTTATTATTATACAATTGGCATCTCAGCTCACGGTGTCACGTCCCCTGGTTATGAACTTATGGTAGTTGATTCTACACTTCCACTATCGTTCCTGTTGGTTCGGACAATCATTTTTCACCGTTTTCTAGAGCTATCGAATGTAAAGAGTATCCTCATGTCATGTCATTTTTGTTAAATTTTTAATTTTTTTTCATGAAATGCAGAAAAATAAAAACATAAACATAAAATATTTTTGGATTTTTTCAAATATATATATATATATATATATATATATATATATATATATATATATATATATATATATACAAACGCAATGCAAAAAATAAAATTGAAAAATCTAACTGGAAATTTTAAATTTTAAAATATAACTAAAAATGCAAAATTTTCACACTAACTCCGTCCCCAAGCTTAAAATGAAGCATCGTCATCAATGCTCAGAAAGGAATGAACAACTCAATAAAACATATAAAAACAAAAAGGGTACAACTAGAAAGAATATACCTAATAAGTTTGTAGAAATTTCTGATTTTTAATGAAGATGTTGGTGAAAAATCTGAATTTCAACAATTTTGACGATCCTCTGATTTCCCCAAGCTTGCTTGGAATTGCGACTGTCTCTTATTGAAAGCATAAAAAATAAAATACTCATCGGGTTGCCTCTCAGAAAGCTGCCCATTTTTAAAGTCGTTGGCTTGACTATGCCCAACCAGATTTATCAACTGGTGTGGTTGGGACTCCTTTTTAGCTCAACTTTTTTTCTTTGTTACTCCAGATCCCTTCAGATATGGCAAAATAGGTGGATCTGGAACTTGCACAGCAAACTAGAAAGACTTCAGATTTTTATCAGTTTAGTCCTTCTTGAGATTTCTAAAACTTTTTTCCTTTTTTCTGATCCTTCTCTTTCCAGCAATCTCATCCTCCTCAGATTTTTTCCTTTTCAGTTTCTTCTTAGCATTCACCATCTCCTTTTTCTTTTTCCACAAGTTTTTTTTCTTTTTAGATTGTTCTCTGATTTTTCCTCTGCAGAAATCTGCTTCTCCTTTTCCCCAAGCTTATATGTTTCTGTCAACTTCTTTTTAACAACCACTTTCTCCCCTTCTTCCCCAAGCTTTCCTTTTTCCAGCTCTTTTGATGTGTCAGAAAATTTTCTGTCTACAAATTAGTCTTACACATAAACATTAGAAAACTCACAACAGTCCTCACACAAAGGACTATTGGTACCCAAAAAATTAACAGAAAAATTATCATATGGAAAGTAATCATCATTCATTTTAAAATTAACCACTTCCCCGTCAAACTCTATTGAAATTGTGTCATAATAATAATAATAATAATAATAATAATAATAATAATAATAATAATAGTAGAAATAATAATGATAATAATAATAATAATAATGACGATGACGATGACAATAATAATAATAATAATATTAATATCCATAATAATAATCATAATGATAACTAGTGTAGAGACCCGTGCGTTGCACGGGTCAGATGGTCGGTCTCATAACTTGAAGTTATATCAAAAGACTGCGACATGAAATAGAGAATACAATCATTCATGTTTACTTGTTCTAAAAGAATGAAAAGTACACTGCTAAATTTGGTTAGGATAATGCAATATATTTGTCTTCTCCATGTTAGGTTATTCCCTGTCTCTCCCAGTTTGTGTGCCTTTGAATGTCATCATAGTCGAGCATCTTCGCCTTAGGGCACCAAATGAAGTGTCCCAAAAAATAAGTAATTATATTGTATAAAGTTATCCAAATAATAGAGTTTTATAAGTTAAGATGATAAAATGTAGCTCTTCTGTTTCAATAACCTGCACATCATCATGGTTAATTCACAGCATGAGGGTTGATTCGGTAATTCCTGATTTGATATTAGCATTTGAAGAGCCAACCACGTTTACTACTTCATGCGATAAAACTATAACTAATCTTATAAAGAATTTTAAACGGAGTTTTGTGTAATTAGTTGATATTCAAGATGTATGCAAATTCCAAAGATGAAATTTAATTTATTTTGGCTAATAATACCATAGGTCCATTAGTGAAAGATCAACAAACACGACCTCGACCACAACTACTATTCACATCGTACATATAAAAAAATCTCATAATAGTAAGCTACTTTACCGAACATTCCCCACTTTCTGGTAAAGATCTTGAAGTGTGCGTACGTTGTCTTATCCTTTCAAAAGCTCCTCAACCTAGAATGGAATTCAACAATGAAATGGAATCAGTGATTGCATTCTATGATGGTTTTTCTTTTGTATGTATTATATCAATATGCAACGTGTATTTATATTTATTAGTTATTTTAAAATATAAGTTGAATATTTTTCAAAGGAATTGTCTGTAATATTTTTCTTTCATAGAAGAAACTACCTTATAGCAGTGGCAGAGCTTTTATTTTCAAAAAATAAAATTAAAGATAATGAAAGTTTATTAAAACCTAAAGAATTTATGACAAGAAAATGTATTTTTATGAGAAAATAATATTTTTATTTATCTTTTAAGAATAAACTATAACTTAATTAAAATAATGATTTTTTTTTTTTTGTAAAAAGAGTTGTCATCACAGACGAAATAAATAAAAATGGGTTATATCTCAATTGTTCATTCCATTCCATGAAGGAATTGAAAAGAAAAGCATCGACTAAGGAATGAAAGTAACAAAACAGAAGGAATCGAAATGCCCCATTCCATTCCTTCGACCATTCCAATGGAATGAACCATTCCATTACTTCCTTGATACCAATATACCAAACACTACCATATTACATTTAGCAATTTAAAAAACAAAAGGAAAAGAAGAAATAGTCATTAGTACTTACCATAGCCTTGGTTTTGGAATAGAATGACCCAATGAAATTGGATTTATATTAAAAACATGAGCAAGTTTAACAGCTTGATATATGTAAATTTTTAAGTAACATTTATTTGAACCTTAAGTTGATATCTTTCACTTTTGGAATCAAAGAGGATTACTTTTAAATTGTGATTTCTTACCTAAAAGATATAATAATGGTAACACCATTTTCATGAAGAGAAATTATGCTTTCAATGGCCCGCTGAAATAGAAACGGTCAAGTGGAAAGCCTATAATTAAATTAAATAATTCAAGAAAGCCACTATATTTTGTCCATTTTTGTAGTTTAACCACTATAGTTCAGATTTTGTTGAAGTTGATCCACTACTTGTCCCTGTGTGGATATCGAATTGCACACAAATACTCGCTTGTCAAAGATCAACTCCAGTACTCCACAAGAACCAAAGGTTTGTGTTAGATTATTCAACAACCTGAAATTAGTAATTACATAAAAATATTAATTAACAGAAATATTCAATTAAATAATTCAAGAAATTATGCTCACCCTTTAGAATAAGCATGTGATTCTATCTCCTCTTTGCATCTTCAATTCTTCAACCTCATTTTTGTCCATTAAAGATCTATCATTCCAATATTCATGAGGAATCAGGACTGCAATGGTATGTCAAGGGCAGCTGCTCAGGAAGCAGAAGAGTGACTCATTTCCTGTTCTATCAAGATCTGTGTGTTTGATGACGCAAAGACCATATTACCCTCATCATTTAAAGAACCATTTTTTTATGGGTTGTGATTGATCTGTGAAGGTATATGTGCCACTATTTCCTCAAGGATACATAGCCTGGTATTCAGCAATCAATTGATTGGTCCTAGTCAACTCCAAAAGCAAAACCGGAAAACAAATTAGGGATGAGATAGCCACAATAAAATTAAAGTCTAAGCTTTAATTGCTTTAACGATTTCTGTTTCAGTGTCATAAGTTTCTACAATACAACACCATCATCATCATAACATCATCATAATTATTCAATCTTGAAAACTTTAAAACTTAGTCAAATTCAATACCATTATCCCCAAATACATCATCAACACCAGAATCCGAAGGGTTTAATATCAACATACCATAGCAGAATGTCAGAAACCTCCATTGGGAAGGGAAAAAAAAAGGAGAGTGGAGACCAGGTGTGTTGTTCTCCGTCAAGGTGTCCCAAGAAAAATAACCTACAAAAATTCGTTATCGGGATCGTGTTTCACCATACATAACACAATCATGTCATAAAACAAAATCAACAAAATCAAACACAGAACTGTCGATTAATAACCAATACAAATTTGTAAGATCATTTCATGCATGCTATGATACGAATCGTTTCAATAAAATAACAACAACATGCGTCTGAAAGTCACTCAAATCGATGTAAACCACAAAAAATTAAAGTGAATTTGAATTAGAAAGAGAGAAGTGAAGGAAAACCGGGTAATGAATTTGACGATGACGTTGAATTAGACGGGGTTTTCATTGTTGGAGCACGACGCAGCTTGAATCTTTATAATCGACACGTGTGTCATAGCCTCGAAAACATCTATTTGGAGGAGAAAAGTGATTGGAAGAGAAGGATGGTGTTGGGAAAATAGCCTCAATAATCCCTACATACCTCCCAACTAAAGACAAGTATATACGTGGAAGCTCCAAAACCCGAGAAAAACCACTGGCCTCCAGAGAGAAAGATCCACTATATTTACAATTACATAGACTAATCTCTCAAGCCTCCCCCAAAATTACACCCACACTCTCAAAGTTTTAACTTAATACTTTCACCACTCTAAAATAAGAGAAAGAAAGAAGTAACCAAACACTTATAGTGTATTGTTGGTTGGGATGCTTTGAAACCAAAGCCTTGGTCTTTATTTATAAGCTTGGAGACCTCCCAAGCTTTCATCCTTCTAGCAATGTGGGATGGGAACATTTTCTTCATATAGCCAAAAAGACCAACAAATCTTCACCTTGGATAAATGAAAGAAAAACCGCAACCACATAAAGGAACATCGTTTTCATCTACGATCATAATTCTAAAGGCATAGAATTATCATACTCCACCATAAGAAAGTATCACCACTTAGAATAAAACCATCCTAAGAATTTCACCTCGACACATGTTGAAAAACTGCTGAAAAATTTATGGTGCAACTTCCACTTGGCATACCCGGAAGTTCATCAGCCATCAACATAACTTCACCACACATCTTGCATTTATGCCAATCCAATGCCCATGTGCAGTTCCCCGCTAACAGAAACACATCCATTTCCATGGTATCACGGGCATACCATAGGGATGACACAACTCAAAAGAATTCATCGCCGTCAGTAGCGACGGAGATAATGTTAGCTGTATCGGAGCCTTTTGTCGAACTCGTTGCTCCACCTGGACAATTTCTCTTGACATGCCCAGACTCTCCACACCTCCAGCATACCGAGATCTTCTGGGAGTGTTTCTTCTTCTCGTTCCTGCATACCATAGCCGTTCCTTCTGATGAAGTATAGTTGCTACTTTCCAGTCGTTTCTCCTCGGACAGGAGTTTACCAGTAACATCCGCATACTTCAGGGTCTCTTTTCCATACATTAAAATAGGCTTCATATGCTCATAGGAAGAAGGTAAAGACAGTATGAGTCTTAAAGCTTTATCCTCATCTTCAGTCTCCACTCCAATAGCCTCCAGTTCTGACACGATGTTATTAAGAACACTTAGATGATCTGAGATTTTTGTATCTCCACTCATACGAAGAGTATGAAATTGTTCCTTGAGATACAACCGATTCGAGATGCCTTTGCCTTGATACAACTGCTCAAGTTTCTCCCACAAATCTTTTGCCGTTGCGATCCCATGCATATTTGCAAGAACATTCTTTGCTAGACACAAACGAATAGCAGTTGCCGCTCTCAAATCCAGATCTTCCCATTCTTCATCATCGACTTTACTGGCTCCGGCTGAATCTTTGCTAGAACCGGGGACAGGTCTCCCCTTCAACGCCTTGTGTAACCCAGACTGAATCAACACATCCTTGACTTGAACTTGCCACAAACCAAAGTTGATTCTTCCGTCAAATTTTTCTACATCAAACTTCATGGGACTGAATTTTGCCATCATATCTGTATCTCAAAAACAGTATTGTATACTAGAAAAATATGCACCGGACCTATACGCAATACACCCAATAAAGGATTCCCATATAAGAGTGGAGGGTCACAACGGACACGCTTAAATACCAATCTTTCTTAGACAGAACCTTCTTCGGATATATACGTATTTACAGCCCGCATATAACTCTATCGTACACAAAACGATTAGTCGAATCCTCGTTTCTGATGTGGAAGATCAGATAAAGCTGCAACCACAGAGCATACTCCGAACCTTCAAAGTACCGAGACAACTCCAATACGATTAATAGAAATTTGTTTCTGATGTGAAAGATCAGCCAAAGCTGCAAGCACAGAGCATACTCCAATTTCTAAAACCGAGACCTCCTCCAAAAACCCGAAGCTCTGATACCACTTGTTGGGAAAATGGCATCAATAATCCCTACAAACCTCCCAAAGACAATAATAGAAAAATAAACTGAACACAAGTATATACGTGGAAACTCCAAAACCGGAGAAAAACCACGGGCCTCCAGAGAGAAAGATCCACTATATGATAAATTGTTACAATCACATAGACTAATCTCTCAAGCCTCCCCCAAAATTACACCCACACTCTCAAAGTTTTAACTAATACTTTCACCACTCTAAAATAAGAGAAAGAAAGAAGTAACCAAACACTTATAGTGTATTGTTGGTTGGGGTGCTTTGAAACCAAAGCCTTGGTCTTTATTTATAAGCTTGGAGACCTCCCAAGCTTTCATCCTTCTAGCAATGTGGGATGGGAACATTTTCTTCATATAGCCAAAAAGACCAACAGATGGCTAGCCAATTTGAAGCCGTTGAAAACCACCATTATGTTTGGATCCGACACTAAACCAGAGCGGAAGGGGAGGGAGTCTGGTGACGGTTGTTGCGATGAAGGGTGATGATGGCGGCAAGACTAAGCGGCGACACAGTTGTCGTATTCATCGTCTTTCTCGTCTTCTCAACGTCGATTTCATTCTGATTGTGTGAAGGGGGTAATAGGTGTGATATTTGCCGTTACCCCCTCTCCCTTACCTCCTCCATAGCCCTACTCACCTCCACCGAAGATATGGAAGAAGGAGGTCGTGCTTGTGTTGTTGTGGTTATTGGTGAAGAGAGCGATGTGGGAAAACGAATAGCAACAGGAGTAAAGCTATGGACAAAGTGGAGGCGGTCGATTGGATGGCGGTGGTGATGAACGTTATCCGATGAAAGAGGAAGAGAACAGGAGGTTTGGATAAGGAGCGGTGTAAGGAAGATACTGGAAGAACCTACGGGTGTGCAGTTCTAGTTTTAAAAATTGCCTAAGAGGACCCTTAAAAAGAAGGAAATAAACAGAGAAGATATGGATTTTAACATATATACATAAATAAAGGACCAAAACTGTCTAGTTAGGAACTTCACTGTTCCTAACTTTCATTTCTTTAATATATATATATATATATATATATATATATATATATATATATATATATATATATATATATAATAATAATAATAATAGTAATAATAATAATAATAATAATAATAATAACAACAACAACAATAATAATAATAATAATAATAATAATAATAGTAGGAATAGTAATAGTAATAGTAATAGTGATAATAATAATAATAATAATAATAATAATAGTAATAGTAATAATAATAATAATAATAATAACTAGTTTGGGAACCCCCGCGTTGCAGGGGTCGGATGTGACGATTTTTTCCGTTGTAAATGTTATTTGATCAACTATTTGTTTATAGTTTAAGTATTGTTATGGGGCAATAATATTTTTTCGTCATGGGGCAATAATATTGTTTACAAAAGAAACTTTGCATTTGATTTTAACCAAAAAAAAAAACTTTGGATGTGATACAATTTCTGAAACTTCTTTTTGAAGCATAACGATACATTCCAGTTCCATCAAACAACACTTACCTCCCGTGTAGTAGATGTCATCGCCAGTTTTCTACATCCATGATAATCAATCATTAATATTGAGTGCTTATGTGCGTGTTGGACTTGTTACAATACACCTGGCAACGGAGTTGCACAACTCGGTTCATCCTTTTACTATATTCAAGTGTAGGTGCTCATGTTTTGCATGGGTTGGATGTGAATTACATAGCAAAAGTATACAATGCAATTTTAATACAAAAAAAATGAAAAATTAAATGGACTCAATGAAAGTAAAATGCCTTTATAGTCATCCGTAGTCTGTGATACTTTTAGTAGTTGCCGATATATTTTGATTGAGTCTGCACTAATTTTCTGCAATAAAAAGAAATCAATATAATGACATTTAGTTTAGTAAAATAGAAAAAGGCCACTTAAACAATGACATAATAGGGAGACAGAAAGCATTTTTACCATCTAGGTGATTTTGGTAAAAATGACCATTTTCATCATTTTGCTCATCATCTTTACGATTCCATAAGTTTATTTGTTTTTCTGATTGTGAAAGGTGTCTCCCCACATCATCCTAAAACCATGCAACAACAAAAACATAAGAAACAATTTGATCAAGTTAACATGACATCTAAACTTCGTAGCAAAAGATTCAAACACTTGAAGTCATTCCTTTGTGGTATCAAGAATATCAACAACATCAGCCTTCCAGCTTGTTACATCAATCAAGAAATAATAAAATATATAAAAAATTATATGTCTAGTAAAAGTAAATGATCCCATTATGTAATGAAACATAGTATGTTGACTAACAATATATTAATCTTAAAAAAGTTGAATGCATTACATTGATTAAATATTATATATAGAATGGAATGAATTATGAAGTTGAATGCATTACATTGATGTGAGAAACCATTAAGTGGTGTAAAGTTAAACGAAAAGTATCATAAATAATCACAACCAAAGCAAAAATAATTAAAAAATAAATCGATTTATTTATAATGAAAAATATTTCTTCTGTTGACTCAATTGATGAACAATAGTAGTAATATTAATGGAAGATTTGAATCAAATCGTCGGCCCTGGAGACCTGCGCTTCATAGCATACCAGAGTAACCGTAATTCTCTTAAACACAGGATCTGGTACCTTGTGTGCGGACTCTTTTTAGTGGGTTGATTTTGAAGCTACAAAACGATCTATTAATCCCTCCAGACAATCCTTTTTGGACCACTCGGGGCTGTCAGATTACCATGCTATGAATCTGATAAAGGTATAACAAAACAGGTCCATTTGGAACTGCAGGAAGTAACAAAAAGGGAAGTACGACCCATATGCTCACTCCTAAAAAAAACAAAAGAAAGCCAATATTAGATTACCAAGGGTATCTTAGACATTTTAATAAGACGCTACATACCGTTTTTGGTGGTTTCATAGATACAGATTGTAACTCTTGCACTTGAATATCAGATTGTACTAAGAACCAATATCAGATTGTAACTCTTGCACTTAAATCCATAGATACAGAAGCCAAATGTAATGTCCGCGTTTCCAGACTAGGCATTATCGTTGATGTAATAGTCTAGGTTAGCTTTTGTAACTCTTTTTGAAGTATTAATGATTAAATATTTGAATATTATGTGTTATGTGCTTAATTGTGTGTCTTAATTTAATTAAGAATAAAAATAAGCGTCAAAATGAAGTGTTAGATAAGCTCGATATCTATAGATAATGTTGTAGTAGTTGAAACGAGGTTTTCGAATACATAAAGAATGCCGAAATCTGAGTTATAACGAAGAAGTTATGACCTGTCGAAGTTTCGTGACAGAACCGGCAACGCTGAATGACGTAAAAAGTGAAATTTACATTAGAGCGGTATTTAGCCCTAGTAATCTAAACGGAAGTTGTAGAGTTCGTTAAACCGAGAGCGTGCATAAAAAGAATGCCCAAATCTGACTTCGTATGAGGAAGTTATGATTTTCCGAAGTTTCGACTTAGCAGTGTGCAGCCCGAATACTCGATTTGAGATCGAGCGGTTTTTAGCCAAAACTTTCTAAATGAGAATTGAAGATCTCATCAATAGTAGTCCAACGATAAAAAGACAGACGAAAACGGAGTTCAGATGAAGGAGTTATGAATTTCGAACGGAGTTTACCTGTCCCGGCCTACTAAAAATAATATATTAATAATATATTAAAATTAAAGTCAAAATTAGCCAATGGAGGCTAAACGAGTGTTGTAGAGCATAATCTCACCTACGCGTGGATATAAAGAACGTCAAAAACGGAGCTCGTATGCGAAAGTTATGAATTTCTGAAGCCCAAGGTGGTGTGAGAGCTCACGAGGTGAGAATTGCAAAACTCACGAGGTAAGTAGTTGACGGACGTCTTCCAGGGCAAGTGGCCATGACAAACGCAATGACATATCGAGCTCACGAGGTGAGAATTGCAAAACTCACGAGGTGAGAATTGCAAAACTCACGAGGTGAGCCTGAAATTTTTGCCCTATAAATAGATTTGAAGGGCCAGCCGATTATGGTTGCTCCATCTCTTCTCTCCCACTCCCGATACTCTCTCTAAGCCCTATTTTAACCCCCCGAGGCCCCGGTGTTCATCCCGAGACCCGAAGCAAGTCCCGAAGTCCGAAGATCCCGAGAAGAAAATAACTTCCGAGCCGAAGCTCTGCCTGCGAGAAGCCCGGTGTGTGAAGATCTTCCAGATCTACCGAAGAATACTACTTCTACAAGTCGTAGTGCTGTCTGATCATCTTCTGATCAAATGAGTGTGTAGTTACCTTCTTCTAACGCATAATTATAAAGTATTTTATACGAAATACGTGTTATGTGTATATTTTGTTGTTATGTGTGTGAATGTATATTCACTTTCTTCTAACTCATAGATATGATTTATTCTCTATGAAATATGTGTTATGTGTGTGTGCCTCATCTGTTATGTGGAATATGTATTGATTGAACATGATATACAGGTTTTAAACTATGTATAAAAATATATATTTTTATCTACTAATATGTTGGGTAGAACATGGGTAGATAGTTGATGTATGATAAACAGATGAAAGGCCTCGTTGTTGTTGCTGATTCAGTCATCTAGCGGAGTTTAAATGACGACCACGGACTTTTCTAGACAGTCTAGTAGAACGCTAGCAGGCTCATTACCTGTAGGTTTTAATGAACTTGGGTGTTCATTTGCTGTACTCCATCCCCCTCATGGTTGCCTTTCGGACATCTATTGTTAAGGAAACCTCTTTGCAGTAATGTCTGTCCCGATGAAAATCCTAGATTAGGTCCCTTATAATAGCTGTTGTTTTAGGGACATAAAGTGAGGATAACGGAAAAGGTGTAATCGGATTATAGTTGGTTGGTGAAATTAAATATAATTATTTATTGCGGGTTGAAAACCCTATATGCTCACCAGGCTTCCAAGCCTGACCCACTCAGTTTTGTTGTATTACATGTAGTGGCGCGAGAGCATAAGTTGGATGACTTATCAAGATCTTTTGATATTAGACCGGTTGTTATATATAACTGTTGTATAGTCTATCTTTTTATGTTTATGTTTTTTGTCTGTTTATCGGAACATGACATCCAGAATATTGTTATATAATGAAAATGCATCTCTTGCTGAAATGCTTTGATAAACTTTATTTTATCATATTTTGTTTTGGAAACAAACTCCGCAACTCTTTTAAATCAAAAGGATTTACTATGAAATTATTTTAAAAGCATAAATGAAACCGGTCTTTTCTGGCCGCGATTTTGGAGATGTCACACCAAAGCCCTGTATATTTATATAAAAAAAATTTATACAATTTTAAAAAAACACTAATAATAAATAAATAAATAAATTAGGGCATTGTTACTTCATTTCATTCCTTCTTAGTAGCAATCAGCTTGCAAGTGGTAACAATGACAAAAATACCCTTCTACCTTAACCAACGGCAAACATGATCAATACATTTGTTAAATAAGTTTTGACACAGGATAAAGATCAAGTTTATGTTCCAAATGAGTCGCAAAACCGGATTAAATCACAAAATGAAGATCACATAATTCTCTTTGAAAAGAAGTTATCTTTGACCAGCTTTGACCACACCCGTAAAACGACAATATTTGTGATCTCATTAACTATAAAAATCTGGATTTGCAGGAATTGTGGCTGTTTGGTCAGGAATGACAACCCTTGAAGTGGCAACAAATTTGAACAGTTTAAAATTCAAAAAAAAAAAACTTGCAGGATTTCATAATCTAGCAATATCACAAGTTGGTCAAAATTGAAGGCTTTCTTGCTTTATCATATAAGAAAAAAAAAGTTAGATTTAATACAAAAACTGGAAAAAGTAACTCTAATTAGATGAAACCCTAATTGGATGTTGAGCAGAAAGGAAACCCCTAATTACAATGATCATAATATTCAAAGTTGGGCCTTATTTTGCAAGATGAAGTTTTTTCTTCCTTTTGCATAGACAGTTCTCTTGAAACAAATAGTAAAAAACAATAGTTGGAAAAGTTAAGGAATAAAAAAAAACAACCTGCAATATATCATTTTCACGATCCTTGGGTCTCTGGCAGGTAACTTTCAATAAAGCTGTAATCTGTTTCTCATTTAACCTTTTTGTATATCGTCGCCCTTCAACAATTTTACATGCCTGGCCAATAAATAAAAAATTCAAAGGTAAATTTATACTGTAGTCAAGCCAAGTAAAGTATACCAACAGGAATAGTCAAACTTGCATGCATGAACTAATCAGATATTGACCTCCATTGGTAGATAGTTGGCCTTCTTTTGGTTTCCTACTTGAAGGCAAGGGAGATGAGTTAGCCGAATAGTGAATCCATACATTTCTTGAAAGTATTCAACAACAGACTTCATCTTTGCATTGTCATCAACTGGGAATCTGTTAAAAAAAAGGTTAAGTAAATTTCTTCTATAGATGTACTCTCAGTCATTTTATATTTAGTATCACTTGTTGAAAGAAGGTTAACATGACCCATCTAATCTCGTTCAGACGGTTCATTCAGTCCAAAAAAAAGTATTTGTTGATACATTACTTATAATTTGTGAAGTGAAATCCAAATCTAGACCAAAAACTTATATCAAAGTGTGTGTAAGAAGCTTGTGTAGTCGATGATGGAGTAGGTCTAATACCTGTTCTTTGAAGCATTTCATCCAGCAGTTGATGTGCATCTTCAAATTTGCCACTTATGAACAAAAAACTAATCTAATAAGCCCCAAATTAGTTTCTTTTTCCACAGAGAAGTTTTGTCCAAAATTATATATGAATTCATTATGCCAAAACAGAATGACTAAGTTTAAGATGGAGTAGCTGTACTTCCAAATCAGACCCAAATGGAAAGGTTGTGGGCTGCGACGTTAATCCAAAAATTCCATATTTTCTTCGTACACTCCCTCTGTGAGTGACTTCAACTTTGACTCCTCTAAGAGCCCTTTTAATCTACAACAGGTTTATTTTGTATATTAAATGCAAGAAGAGTGATAATTTGTTGATTAAAGAGGAAAGGAATATACCTTGACATGGTCAGAATCAGAGAGCGGTCTGGATAGCATACCTTTGCCAAGAAGCTGGCCTACGAAATCTAATACCGGGGGAGCCTCAATAAAAGCCGCTGAAGCCATATCTATATTATAGAATCAAAATAAAATCAGCAGTAACTTTCCATTTTCCAATTATGATCCTAGCCTTTTAATTAATTTCAAACACTTTTGTTCTGTGTCTGTCATATCAATATTTAGTGACAATCCCATTTGATTAGGACAAATACTCTGGTAGAATCCACACCATGACTCCAGGCCTTCTCCTAGCTGCTGCACTTTCCCAATATTAGGAGAAAAGAAGGACCTTCCCACCCGACAATACCTATTCATCAAATCATCAATCAATAATAAACTGACTCATAAAGTGGGATTTGGTATGTGTATAAACTGACCAAGAGGAAGTTATTTTGAAATACCTACCATCCCCAGAAGTTCTATCTGTATCAAGCAGCAAGTATCCAATTGGATCCCTAATGCTACCTCTGCAAAAGTTGAAGAAAAGAACACAATCATCAGAAAGATGTGAGTCGGTTCTTATTTGATTCATGTGATTGAAATAGATCTGATCATGTTTTCAAAAACTACCATCTTAGGGTTAGAAGAGATTGCCTATTATAAAGGGTAATTTGGGTAAGAATTGTATGAAATATCTTCACGAAGCGGCCACAGAAGGAGAGTCAGGTGTAGATGTCGAAATCAGAAGAGGCCGACGTCGGCTCTTGTTCCTGCTGCTAGTCGGTGACGGTGACCGGCCATATGCCGCTGCGACACCCGTTTGCTTCAAAATCGTTGCTTTCTCCACCGCCGATTTCGATTGTCGGTAATATCTTCACGAAGCGGCCACAGAAGGAGAGTCAGGTGTAGATGTCGAAATCAGAAGAGGCCGACGTCGGTCTTGTTCCTGCTGCAAGTCGGTGACGGTGACCGGCCATATGCCGCTGCGACACCGGTCTGGTTCAAAATTGTTGCTTTCTCCACCGCCGATTTCGCATGAGTGATGGGAGGTTTGTGGAAGAAAAGAGAGATAAGGTTGACTGAAGATATTTGAGGCGGTGGGAAGGATCTGGAAACTGATAAACCCAAACGATGATCAACACGTAATGATAATAATGTAATGATAATAATGATAATGATAATAATAATAATAATGTAACGTCCCGATTCCCAGGTATTAAATTAATTAAGAATTTCCTTAGTTTTTAAGCCCTACTCGACGAGTAAAGGATGCTCTACTCGTCGAGTAGCGTCGATGCGGGATCGCGAAATTAGTGATCTACTCGCCGAAGTCCATAAAGGGACTCGACGAGTAGGAGCAGGCAGAAGAAACCCTAAGTCCCGGGTTCTGCACTCTATTTAAGGAGGCATAAGCCCCATTTGGCCTCCTTGCAGTCAATTAGAGCTCATAGAAAACCCTAACTGTGTATTGTGTCAATCTTGTGCATTGTAAGCTTGGAAGGAGGGCTTTGTGGGAGGAAGAACTTGGAGAACAAAGGGATAGGAGCAAGGAAGGAGTGGAAATCTGAAATCTACCTCAGTTAGCACCCATTGAAGGTATCAAGTCGACATCTTTATCTCTTTTCCCTTCTAGATCTCATATGGTGGAAATCTAAGGTTTTTATTGTTTAAGTAAGGTGATATTGCAAGACATGAGCTAGATCTGAAGTTGTAACTTTAGATCTGGACCTTTCCCGAGTTCTAGATTCATAAAGTTCCTGTCTTGGTCGTGAATGAGGCCCCTCTTGTGCATGAAACCCATTAAGAGCTTAGTTTTGGACATTAAGAACCTTTTTAGCCATGCATGCACGTAAAGTTTGCAACTTTACGTGAAAGGCATGCCCTGGAAGCTTGGATCTGTAATTTGGAGCCATTGCATGGCTTAAAATGGGTCTGTATGGCTTAAGGACTGAAGGAACTCGGCGAGTCGCAAGGGCGACTCGGCGAGTCATATGAAGATAGCCGTGAACTCGACGAGTTGGAAGAACAACTCGGCGAGTCCGATGAAGATTGCCATAGACTCGACGAGTTGCATGAACAACTCGGCGAGTCGGATGAGTTTTCCCCAAGTTAGGAATGTGTGTGTATCGACGTGTTACTAGAAAGAAACTCGATGGGTGGCCTTAGGGCCTCAATAAAGGATCGTGGGAACTCGACGAGTCACCCCGGTGACTCGGCGAGTGGGTAAGGATTTCAAGGAACTCGGCGAGTAGCCGAGGGTACTCGACGAGTTAAGGTCAACATGGACTGTTGACCTTGACTAAGGACTTTGACTTTGACCAGGGTTAACTAGTTGGGTTATGAAGTACTCTGTGAGGATGAAGACTTATGAGCATGTTCGTATTATGGTAATAGGTGGTGGAGTCTTTGACGAGTGATCGGAGAGCTGTGATTTATTTACCGAGCTGACATCTACGAGGTGAATTATCCTCACTATACTAAGGGGTCTAAGGCACCAAGGTCGCCCCATTGGATTTGATATCCTAGTAGTTATTGATATGTTGAGTTGAGTTAGTAATGTATGCCAGTTGATAAGCCAGTCGGGTAGATCTGCAGGGCTGCCTGTGACACTGATTGGTTACATGTATGTGCATTTATTTGTTACATGTCGACATGTTATGTGGGATGGGTTGAGGTTGTACTGCTCCGTGCGGTAGCCAACAAACCCGAGAGTATTCCAGATATGAGCTGAGGGCCCGGTAGGCATTCCGGACTCATATTGAGGACTCGGGAGCATTCCAGATACGAGCTGAGGGCCCGGTAGGCATTCCAGACTCGTAATGAGGGCTCGATGGCATTACAGATACGAGCTGAGGGCCCGGTAGGTATTCCATACTCGTACTGAGGGCCCAGGGGTAGTCCAGCTTGTAAAGTTGTGGACCCAGTGTATGTTGTTCTGTTTTTGAATGATATGATTTGCTAATGCTGATATTGCTATTTGGCTTGTATGTGTATCGGTATTTTGGGGGCAACTCACTAAGCTTTCGGGCTTACAGTTTCAGTTTATTGTTTCAGGTACACCAAGGGATCGCGGCAAGGCAAAGGCGTGACCGTACAGCTCCTCCTGTTATGCTATGTTTCTGGGAAATACTCTGATAATTAATATTTCGAAAACAAAGTTGTAATATTTTGATGAACTTGACATGTTTTAAAAAGTTTAAATTGGTTTGAAATTTTGGATGTCACAAGTTGGTATCGGAGCCTTGGTTTGAGCGAATTGGAGGAACATTCGTGTGAATCCAGTCTCAAATCAAGGAACGGTTTTCAAAAATGTTTTAAGAAATTGGTTTTCGAAATAAATAAAGGAGGATGCAGGGTGTACGATCAGCCGGAGCCAGTAAGTAAACCCCAAAATACCATACAGTTATTTGATTATGTGATATGTTAGAACAGCATGATAGTACTAGGCTAGGGATCTTCAGGAATTGCATGATAGAATTGTCTGATACATTATGCCTGCTAGCCTAGGGTTTTCCTTATATGAAATTGACATCATTACTGCAGTTATCTAGTGTAGGCATCACGGTTGTACATAATTAAGATCTTATAGCCTGAAAATGTTTGATTTAGCCTTATGTTCTGTTCTTGTTTGATTGGGAGCTTAGGGTAGGATTGAATATTCGAAAGTCTATAGGGTCCAGCGTTATGTATGGCTAGTGTACACTAGTACTGCAGGGTTGGTGGAAGTTTTGTAGATGGATAGGTTGTTGGGATGAGTCCGCCGACTTCGAGGCATTTAGCCTTCCTTTAGGAGTGAGGCTTGAGTGCTCGATATGATTATATGTATTGTTAGGGCTTTGTGATGATACTTGGAACAAATATGGGTAGGTGTGGAAGGTAGTATGGGCCCGTACTACTGGAAGCACAGGACCCATACGCGTAACAAGGAAGTCACAACCCCTAGGGTTTTGTTGGGGGTTGGTCCCCAGTTATTCGTATGAGTTATCTGATACCTCGTGTTGTGTTTCAGAATGGTGATGACCAGACGCTTTGTGACCGAATCCGGTTCGGGATCAGGTTCAGGATCAGGAGAGGGCGGACAGGGGGAGCTGACAGCACTAGAGACTATCGTCCAGATGAGGCCAGATGAGATGGATGACAGGATCCGAGCGATCCTGCACGATGAGGTTGCTGCGTTGTTCCGGGCCGAGTTGCCGGAAATGTTCGGGTCAATTAAGACCGCCATGGCGGAGTATTTCGATGAGCGTTACGCAGCCCTCGCAGAGACAGCCGCCGCAGCAGCTGCATCAGCTGTATCTACGGCAGGGGGAGGAGTTGGTAGGGGTTTTCAGTACAGGGACTTCGATAACACGAAGCCCCCTACTTTTGATGGGACACAGGATCCCATCAAGGCTATGAGATGGGTTTCGGATGTTAAGGGGTGTTTCTTCACCTGCTCGTGTCCTGCTAACCAAAAGGTTAGGTGTGCTCTGAACCTGCTTAGGTCCGGGGCCAAGGACTGGTGGAGACTTACGACTGGGGCTTACACTGATGATCAGAGAGCTGTTGTTACTTGGGAGCAGTTCAGGGATATGTTCCGTGCTCGTTACATTCCGAGGGTTGAGCGGGAACGTTTGGCACAGGAGTTTCTGAGTTTGAGACAGCATGGAGAGTCGGTGACGAAGATCACCCGTATGTTCACCGAGCGGGCGATGTTCTGCCTAGAGTTTGCTTCCGAGCAGTCTCAGATGACCCGTTATCTGAGTATGCTCAAGACTAATATCCGACAGTTTGTATCTACCCAGCGATGTGATACTCTTCTGGAGTTGTAGGAGGCCGCCAGACGGCGGGAGTTGGAGATTGAGCTGCAGCTAAGGGAGCAGCGGCCAGCCCCGACACTGTCACAGCCGGCACCGAAGCGGTCTAAGACCGCTGATGCTAGGACCGGAGGTCAGCAGGGCCGCACTTGTGGGAAGTGTGGCAGGAGTCATTCTGGTATATGTCGAGCTGGTAGTGGGTGCCACAAGTGTGGCAAGGAGAGGCATTACGCGAAGGATTGTCGCCAGGCTGCCCCAGTTCAGGGTATGAGGTTATGTTATCACTGCGATCAGGTTGGCCACATGAGGGCCAACTGTCCACTACTTGCCGCCAAGCCGGTGCAGGCTGCAGCGCCGGCTACCTTGAGGATCACAGATGGGAGACCAGTCAGGACAGAGCCTCCGAAGGCTCAGGTTCGTGCTTTCCAGCTTACGGCGGAGGAGGCCAGAGCAGCACCAGATGTGGTTGCTGGTATGTTTCTATCCTCATCTCGTTTTATTTATCTTTTGTATGCTTATCTGTTGTACCTGTAATTAGGTACGTTTTTGGTGAACTCTTTGCCTGCTTTGGTCTTATTTGACTCGGGGGCGAGTCGGTCCTTCGTGTCTCAGTCTTTTAGTAGGGAGTTCAGTGCGCCGGTGGGTGAGTTAGAGTGTCCGTTGCGATTGTCTATCGCTAACGAACACTGGGTTTCTGCTTCTTCAGTTTATCGAGGATGTGACTCGGAGATTTTCGGGGTGTCTTTTCCGATAGATCTGATTCCGATCCCCATGGGAGAGGTGTGCGTGATTGTGGGCATGGATTGGCTCAGTCGGTTCGATGCTATGATTGATTGCGAGGGCCAGCGAGCGGTAGTTCGAACCCCAAGTGGGGGAGAACTGGTTATATATGGTGAGGGCACCAGAGTAGGCTCAGGGTTTTGTTCAGCTGCCAGGGCTCGGCAGTACATTCAGCATGGGTGTATGGGTTATCTAGCGTATGTGGTAGATACGCGAGCCAGGGACCAGACCTCGGTTTCCGATGTACCAGTGGTCAGGGAGTTTGCAGATGTGTTTCCAGAGAAGTTGCCAAGGATACCTCCGGAAAGGCAGGTCGAGTTCAGGATCGACCTGGTGCCAGGTGCGGCCCCTATCGGTAAGGCGTCGTACCGACTGGCGCCACCAGAGATGCAGGAGCTGTCGTCACAGCTACAGGAACTGTTGGGCAAGCAGTTCATTTGACCTAGCAGTTCTCCATGGGGAGCGCCGATTCTTTTTGTCCGAAAGAAGGACGGTTCGCACCGGATGTGCATTGAT